GTGAAGATGCCAATATGGATAATGTCATCGGTGGTGAAGAAGGTAGCGATTTCCGTCAAGCTATTTTTTCTGATCGCTCCAGAGGCCGCAATTATGGCCCAAACATTGCGATTTTTACGTGGAGAAGGGGATCGGGCCGGAGAATAAGCATGTATGGCTTGATGAAGATCTATCAATATTTGGCTGAAGGACACAGGCCCGGGAAGTTGTTAGTACACCCAAGAAGAGTGATTGACCTTTAAATTGATACCAATTATATTGTCGTATGTACTCGGATGTGGGAGTTACACTTAAATATTTACATGTGTTTACGTATACAGATATTATTTAGTAGGCCTTTACCACACTAGAGGTGAGGTTCCAGTTATGGTCAAGGACAATGCCTATAATTTTCGGTGATGATCAGATAGTAATTTTGGGATGAAATGGACCAAAAAATTAAATTTTTGTGTTTTTTGCTCTATAGGCCATAATTATAAGCCGAACATCACAATACAGTCCACGGCGAAGGGAATCTGGAAAAATAATTAGAAGCACTATACTGAATATTAGTAATATTCGGAAAAAATGTCGGTTTAAGGAAGATGAGCTGTTGAAGTGTACAAATATCACAAATATTGCCCAGGCACGGAATAATCATCAGCAGAAAATAAGAGTTCCGTGGGAGTTGTGTAGGGTGGCCCCATCTGCTCCGCTCACTGGTTTTTATAACTGGTTAATTTAAGTTTTTATCTAGGCCGATAATGGTGTATTTATTTAATTATTCTTTAAGAATTACTATTAGCAGGACTAGTACAGCTATACTATAATTAAAATGTCTTATACACTCCTCTCTCAATTACAGAAAAAATGCGTTGAATCTCAATCGGACCCATATCAAATCAAATCAAAACGAAATCCCGCCGAATTTAATGTACTAAATCATGGTGATTTATGGGTAAACAATATTATGTTCCAATATCATGAAGATGGCGCGCTGAAAGAGACCTATTTCATTGATTTCCAATTGGGTCGCTATGGATCGCCGGCACAGGATTTACAATATTTTCTTTACTCATCAACCAATTTGGAAATTAAATTAAAACATTTTGATTATTTCATTGCCTATTATCATGAAAAATTAGTGGAGAGTTTGAAATTACTGAAATATGAAAGTAAAATTCCCAGTTTGAGAGATATACACATTGCCATGTACAAGCATGATTATTGGGGTAAGATTTGTATTTATTATTATGAAATTTAAAAGTTGACATACATTTATTATTTCTTTTATTTAGCTTATACCATTGCAACAAATTTGATGCCTGTAATACTTTGTGAGTCCCGTGAAGATGCCAATATGGATAATGTCATCGGTGGTGAAGAAGGTAGCGATTTCCGTCAAGCTATGTACACTAATAAAAGATTAGCGGAAAATATGAATGTTTTAATTCCGTGGTTGGACAATCGTGGTGCATTTGAAGTATAATTTAGAAATAAATTTGAAAATCGTTTTTTTTGTTAAAATCTATGAATTATTGTTATTTGGTTATTTAAATAAAAAGAATGGCACTCATATATGGGTGTTCAGCTAAAACATGAATTTACAGGGTTATAAATTTCGTGATTTCAAAAGTAAACGTAAATGAAACTCATCGTCCAGCCGTCTATATGCCTGGCCGACTGATGCGCAGTATAATATCATGCTAACGGACTATTCGACAACCTCTTAACTTCACCAAGCATATATCAAGTACGAATATGGGACCCATTGGTCCACTCCTTCTGGTACCTTCCCTACAAAGTGTTAACATTTTCAATATTAAAAAAAAATCCATTATTAGGCTAATGGAATGTTCGACTTGAGCACATCGTAAATTTTCTTTCATGTTGGAAGATGGGACTCAATTAGTCCACTCCTTCTCGTACCTCCCACACAAAATAATTTTTAACTATGGCTGAATAATGTTGGAAGAGAGGACTTATCGTTTCACACGTTTTAGTACGTCCCCCCAAAAGAGTCAACATTTTGAAAACATGTAGGGGAGAGGGGGGCGCCTTTGAACACTTTTTGCTTTCAAGCCTTATAAAATTTTTTATTTTATAATTTTTGGTTTCTTATAAATTTTAACTAATAGGTACATATGTAACCTTCAAAATGAATATACATATGACATACTATAAGCTTGATAAATATATTTTATTACAGTTTTAATGGACGAACTCAAAGTGTTCAAAACTGCCCCCCCAGGGGGGCAGCTTTGAACAGGATTTGACATTTTTGAACGACATGGTTTTTTACAGTGTTTATGTTTAAATATGTATGTATTTTATTAATACATATCAGAAATGAATTAGTTCATTAAAAAATTTAAAATAATTTTTTTTTGTAATAAATATATATGAAAGAAATTACATTAGTTATGTTTGAAATGATTGTTGGAATGCAAAAAATTTGTTTGACGAAAGAAAACTATCACAGAATTCTTCCTGCGCCCTTACAACCTAATGAATAAAAGTTTACAATGACACTGAGAAAACATGGTCACCCATGCACAATTTTTCGACAACTGAAAAAGCAAGACAAAGTGGTTTACGCATATAGAGAACAAGATTGTCATATACAAAAATGTGGTTGCGGGTCGGAAAAATATTAAACCAAGATTTTATGAGCGCTGTTCAAAGGTGCCCCACGTTCAAAGGTGCCCCCCTCTCCCCTAAACCTCATATGAAGCGAATGAAATATCCAATTTCATAGTAGTAACTGTTGGCCAAAACAATTCTCCTCCAGATTACAAAGCAGATGTTATTATTTTTGTTTTTGGAGGTACCGAGGTATATAAAATCGTTTACAACCTTGAAGTTTTAGTATTCAAGTTCCACAGTTGTTCCGAGTCAACTGGACCATGAGCTTGATCTTTTCGCCATTTACTGCCAGTCCCACTTTAGCAGACTCCTTCTCAACTCGTTCAAATGTGGCTGTTACCCCTCGCAATGTTGGATCCTTTATGTCGATGTCGTCAGCGAGTATAGAGTGTCATTTCTTTTCACATTTGCATCTCGTATGACCTTTACCAGCAGGATGTTAAGCAGGTCGGTATTGAAGGGCTCCGATAGGTCCTTTCAGACTTTCACTGCAGACCTTGTGCCACTTAAAATTATCCTACATAGCCGTATTAATTTTGCAGGAATGATACACGCAAACATGGCCTTAAACATCTCTGAAAGGATAGGGCTGTCGAGTGAAATTTGTCGATGTGTTTTTCGTGGGTCTTTTCCAGAATTTGCCGCAGAGTGAAGATCTGGTCAATGGTGGATTTGCTAGGTCTGAAGCCGCATTGGTATGACCCAATAATGTCATTGGCCATTGGAATCAGTCGTTCACACAGCCCGCCTGATAGCACTTTATGGGCGATGGGAAGGAGACTTATTCCTCTATAGTTGGCACATATCGTCTTATGTGCTCTTTTGTGCACGGGACACAGGATGCTGAGGTTCCAATCATTGGACATGCATTCCTCCAGTCAAATTGTACTAATCAGTTGTTGCATGCTCTTGACCAGCATCTCCCGGCTGGGGCTTTATTGTTAATCAGACGATTAATTGCTACTCTGACCTTATCTTGGCTAGGTGGAATATACTCTATACCGTCATCTCTTATTGGTTCTGGGCCATCTTCTTCACTGCCACTAGTTGATACCAAAAGCTTTTCAAAATGCTCCTTCCAGATCCTCAACACGCTATGAGTATCTGTCAACAGGTTTTCATCTTCGTCTCTACAGGAGGGAGTGCCTGAACCAAAGCCATCGGTTTGGTGTTTTACTCGTTGGTAAAATTTCCGGACTTCATTCTGACTACTGTACATCTCGATTTGTTCACGTTTTTCTTGTTCTTTCTTCTTTTTTCTGAAAATACGTTTCTCGTCTCTCCTTTTCTTCCGATAATTCCCCATCGCATTACGTGTTGTTTCTGTCATTTATGCATAAAATGTTAAATTTCTCAATGGGCATTTTACACAAGACACATATTGTCACCGCATTTCGGGTTTTCCGAGGTTATATGTTTATACCCTTCACCACTCTGTGGTACAGGGTATTATGTCTTTGTGCATATGTTTGTAACAGGCAAAAGGAATCGAGATAGACCCATGGTTCCTTTTGAGAATATGCATAGAATCACTTTCTGAGTCGATTTATGCATGTCCGTCCGTCCGTCCGTCCGTCTGTCCGTCCGTCCGTCAGTCCGTCTGTAGATGTTAAATTGTAAACAAAGTACAGGTCGCATTTATGATCCGATTTGGATGAAATTTGGCACAAGTCACTTATTCGGCCCAAGGACGAACCCTATTGAAATTGGGAAAAATCGGTTCAGATTTAGATATAGCTCCCATATATATATTTAACCGATTTAATGTAAACGGTCCCTATATATCTTTCGATTTGCACGAAATTTGGTACAGCCTAATCATTTAGGTCTAGAATGATGTCTGCCAAGTTTCATGAAAATCGGTCCAGATTTAGATATAGCTCCCATATATAGTTTCGTCTGATTTCATGTAAATGGTGCACCAAAGTTTCTACATATCCTTCGATTTGCACTAAATTAGGTATAACGTACTTAATTTGAGCCTAGAATGATGTCTGTCAAGTTTCGAGAAAATCGGTCCAGATTTAGATATAGCTCCCATATATAGTTTCGTCCGATTTCATGTAAATGGTGCCCCAAAGTCCCTATATATCATTCGATTGGCACGAAATTTGGCATAACGTACTGAATTGATCCTAGAATGATGTCTGCCATGTTTCAAGAAAATCGGTCCAGATTTAGATATAGCTCCCATATATAGTTTCGTCCGATTTCATGTAAATGGTGCCCCAGAGTCCCTATATATCTTTCGATTTGCACGAAATTTGGCATAACGTACTGAATTGGGCCTAGAATGATGTCTGCCAAGTTTCATGAAAATCGGTCCAGATGTAGATATAGCTCCCATATATAGTTTCGTCCGATTTCATGTAAATGGTGCACCAAAGTCTCTATATATCCTTCGATTTGCACTAAATTAGGTATAACGTACTGAATTGAGCCTAGAATGATGTCTGCCAAGTTTCGAGAAAATCGGTCCAGATTGAGATATAGCTCCCATATATAGTTTCGTCCGATTTCATGTAAATGGTGCACCAAAGTCCCTATATATCATTCAATCTGCACGAAATTTGGCAGAACGTACTGAATTGAGCCCAGGGTGATGTCTGCCACGTTTCGAGAAAATAGGTCAAGATTTAGATATAGCTCCCATATAGTTTCGTCCGATTTCATGTAAGTGGTGCACCAAAGTCCCTATATATCCTTCGATTTGCACGAAATTTGGCATAACGTACTGAATTGAGCCTAGAGTGATGTCTGCCTTGTTTCGTGAAAATCGGCCTAGATTTAGATATAGCTCCCTTTTATTATAGATTGATTTTACGTAATTGACGCACCAAGGAACCAATAGGAACAAAACGTTCTGAAATTAGTATAACCTAACCTGTGACAAGCTTCTTTGAAATCGCTTTATAGTTGGATAGAGCTTCCATATATATTTTCACCCGATTTCAAGTAAATTGGGCATCAAACTGCTCATGTTAGTCAGATTGACATCAAATTTTGCACAACTTACAAAATTGAGCATAGAATTACGTAGTTGCGTTTTCTAGAAGTACAGATATAGCCCAACGGATGACCTATTTATATTTGTTTGAAGTCGATTTACATACTTTTGTCCCATTGTAACAAACGAATGACATGTTTATGGATAGATCTAGGTAGACTCACATTTAGATAAATATCACATATTTTATTTCATCCAATTTCATATTAATAGTCCTGTTTAATATACCCATAGTGGTGAAGGGTATCGTATAGTCGGCCCCGTCCGACTTTACTACTTTCCTTACTGGTTTAGTATATATGCCCGTCCATTCTCTTCTCTTGGATAAAATAGTAAATTATAAGCAAGATGTTGCAGTAATTTGTTGAGTCAATCCTTATCAATTATATATACCTATATATGTATACTTCTGATATTTGAAATCCGATACCGATTTTATTGACTAAGTCGTAAAGTGCACAAGTATGACAACATGTGTTCCAGTTCCAAAATTTTCCAATCCTATTCGCGCGTAATTCTTGTGGGTGGGCTTAACACAAGATTGCCGAAGGAGCATCAAAGTGGTTATATGCTCGGCAATTATTGTACGGCTTCTAGTCCAAGATAAGATTTTTTCGATTGAAATATAAAATAAGTTTTGGTTGCTATATGTTAGTAGATTGCTTTAATTGTTTATTAATTTTTCGATTTCGATTCGATACTGGTTATTGACAAGGACATTTGTGTTATTAGGGTTTTTGATTTGTTAATTTATTTTAATAAA